GATCTTTATGATTTCTTTCCTTCTGCTAACTTTGGGTTTTGTTTGTTCTTCTTTCTCTGGTTCCTTTAAGTGTAAGTTTAGATTGTTTGAGATTTTTCTTGTTACTTGAGGTAGGCTTGTATTGCTATAAAGTTCCTCCTAGAACTGCTTTTGTTGCATCCCATAGGTTTTGGATTATCATATTTTCATTGTAATTTGTCTCTAGGTATTTTTTGAAAAAAATCTGTAATTTCTATTGGTGACAAGTCATAGCTGTTGCTAATACCACTGCAGTGTGTTTCCTCCATTTGTAATAGAAATGCTAAGTTTCTGTTAGAGGACAGTGAAAATAAAGAGAATTTCCCCCCTAAGACCCCGGGTTAAAAATGTCTAATTTAGGGCTTCCCTGGTGGCGCAGTGGTTGAGAGTCCGCCTGCTGATGCAGGGGACGCGGGTTTGTGCCCCGGTCCGGGAAGATCCCCCATGCCGCGGAGCGGCTGGGCCCGTGAGCCATGGCCGCTCAGCCTGCGCATCCGGAGCCTGTGCTCCGCAACAGGAAAGGCCACAACAGTGAGAGGCCTGCGTACGGCAAAAAAAAAAAAAAAAGTCTAATTTAGGGAGAATTCCCTGGCAGTCCAGTGGTTAGGACTTGGCAGTTTCATTGCCATGGCCTGGGTTCAATCCCTGGTTGGGGAGCTAAGATCCTGCAGCACAGCCAAGAAAAAAATAAAAAAAAAGTCTAATTTAGAAAGATGCTATGCAGAGCCTCCTGGAGAGAGAGAAGAAAACTAAGATCTATTACATATTAAGAGAGGTGGGATCCACTCCTGGGGGATTTGTGGGAAGTGGTGGGAGGGCAGGCAACCATGAAGGCCTGCATGGAGGAAGTAGCATTTGAGTTGGGCTTTCACAGACTGCTAGGGCTCAGGCATGCAGAAACTAGGGTGGGAAAAGATCTGGGCAGAGCAGCAGAGGGAACCAGGCTGGGTGTGCCTAGTTTGGCAGGAAGGCGGGTAATGAGTTCCGTAAGTTGGTTTCCACAAGGAGCACTTGATCTGGACGGTCCCTTGTTTGCCAAGACCCAGCAACAGTTCAGAGGCTCAGGCATCAGCGCCACCCTGCTCGGCAGCTTGGCAGCGAGGATGCCTGGGCTTGCTGAGACCACAGACCCGCCTGGTTCTGGAGGGGAAAGAAGGGTGCCACTCAGGTTTGGGGGTGCTCAGGGATGAGTCCCAGCCAGCCCTCTGCTCCCCACCCCACAGCCTGTTCAGGAAGATGTGCTCCCTCAGGAAAGCTTGGAGATGTTATCTGCCAGGGTGGCTGCATTTTGACACTTCATTTCCATTACGGTAGCTTTAAGTTGCCCAATATATTCATTATTCTTGAAATGACTTGGCTCTTAAGGGGAAAGGGTAACTGACACTCTGCTCATGCCTGCATCTCACTCTGCCCTTGCCAGGACTGTCATGAAGGAGGGGAAATAGAATTCCAATAGGTTACATATCTTGCCAGAGGTCACATAACTAGTCCTGTGGAGGAGGTGGAATTTAAACCCAGAAGGTGCAACCTGAAAGTAATCCTAAACCTCGTATCATAAATGACCTTGTCTGGCTGCAGTACTGCTTACCAAAAAACAACAACAAAAAAGTCAAACAGAAACAAAAACAAACAAGCAAAAGCAGTTGAGCAAATGATAGTACTTAGCAAGCCACGCCTAACTTTGCTTGCATCTCTGAAAAAAAATGGAAATGGGATCCAAGCCGTGTCCCACAGTAGCACTTCTTTATGCTACTGACTGCTTTAAAACACTTCTGTTTATTTCAAAGTACTATATTTAGAGTATCTAAAAACTAAACAATTTAATGAGGCTTATAACAAAAACTGGCAGTCCCACGTCCCACCTCCTCTAGATTCTTGCTCCCATGGACAACCAGGTTCAACTCTTAGCCGTCTCTTCCAGCACTTACCTCCTCGTCTCTAAAGCACGTGCTTATAAGCCTTGAATACGTGAATGTCTGTGCTCCTATTTCTGGAAATTTTGATCCTTTATCGCTTCTCCTTTGTGTTGAGCTCCCCGTTGCTTGGATCCCAGGTCTCCCTTTCCCTTCGTTGATTTCTCTCATTTTTGAAAAGTGGGTGCTCTGGGGGCTTCCTGGGAATGGATGCAGAAGTGTCTGCAAATGTCTTGGTTCAGGCTTTGCCCATGATGGACAGTTTGGCTGGGTGTGGAATTCTAATATTTATTTATTTATTTATGGCTGCATCGGGCCTTTCTTGTGGCATACGGGATCTTTGGTTGTGGTGCGCGGGCTCCAGAGCACATGGGCTCTGCAGTTGTGGTGCGTGGGCTTAGTTGCCCCGTGGCATGTGGGATCTTAGTTCCCCGACGAGGGATTGAACCCGTGTCCCCTGCATTGGAAGGCAGATTCTCTACCACTGGACTACCAGGGAAGTCCCATGTATGGAATTCTAAATGGAAATCTTTACCCCTCAGAGTCTCAAAGGCCTGGCTCCATTGTCTTCTAGCTTCCAGCCCCTTGTTACTTGAAGCCACATTTCCTACTGTCACCACACTGCTCCCTTCCATCCCTTACTGCCTAGGCAAGAGCAGCCTCTTATTCTCTTTGCCCCTCCCCTCCCTGGCCTCCAATCCAACTCCCTCCAACTCCACTGGCCCAGAGGCCCCTGTCTTTTAAAATCCCTCCCGCCCTCCCCTGCTCTTTTTCTGTCCCTGTGCCCACCCTGCTGATTCTGCCTCACAGACGCCCAGAAACCGTGAGGAGTGGGGCAGAGATGCTGGAAACACCCCTAGGCTCATCAAATGTGTCCTCTTTATAAAAGTTACACCCCAAAGCCCGTGCTTCTTTCTCCCTCTACACCAAGGCATTTTTCCTGGAGAGGAGGCAGAGAGTCCTGTTAGAATCAGGACGACTCAGCGAATTTAACCTGAAGCAGCCGTCCAGGAGACTTGTCACTGCTTGGCCTCCAGACCTACTTGGAAGCACTTCTCCATAGCACTCTATAAAAATCGGGACTTCCCTGGTGGTCCAGTGGTTAGGACTCAGCGCTTGCACTGCGGGGGCCCAGGTCGATCCCCAGTTGGGGAACTGGGATCCCACAAGCATCACAGCAAAAAAAAAAAAAAAAAGAAAGAAAAATGGCAGTAGTGTTATAATGTAAACAAAGGTTAATAATCACAATATAGAACCTTCCCACAGGACAACATGGAAAGGACTAACAACCCAATAAAAAAGTAAATCCACAGAATAAATGACCCAAGGCACTTCACACCATGGAAGCAGAAAGGGGGCTGTTCTTCCTTTCTCTGCCCCTTTCAGAACATGGGCTCGGCTGGCTGGACACTTGTGTCAGGTGCTGGGGCTCTGGGATCAAGAGGGACAGTTAGAATCTGTGCGCCGGGACAGCCAGTGATGATGGCTACCTGGCCAGCTCAGTCCTGCATCCTGCCCTGCCCAGCCTTTCAGCTCCTGCTGTTAACCCAGCTGTCACACTGTCGGGCTGCCCAGTGTCACAACCTCCTTCCCGTGTTTGGGGACCTCCCCACCTTAGGAATCTTACTGGAAGCTCCTTGCCCAGGCTGCACCAATCAGAGGCCTGGCCCTGCTCTTGAACAGAGAGCCACACGGCTGAGGAGTGAGGCCACAAGATGGAGTCTGCAACCGTGGCAGCAGCCGAGGTCAGGTTATCATGTGGGGAGGGAGGTACACTTTATATAAAAATAGTTTGTAATTTTTGGAGTATGTGTTATCCTTTAATAAAAATTTTATTGTCAGATACTTACACGTGAGTATATAAAACGTGTATGCGCAGTGGGAAAAGTTATAAAGCAAACACCCTTGGAACCACCATCCAGATCAAGAAGTGGATCAAGTACAAAACTACTGCTCCCCTACGGCCCAGCACCCTCACTTCCAAAAACACAAGCACAAACATGTACAAGGATCTTTGCGGAAACATGTCCCGAAGAGCAAAAACCAAACTAAAAGGAGTTGGCAGTGTGCTGGCACCTACACGAATGACTGTGCTTAATCCCCACACCCCTGCTGGGGATAAGGTGGGGAAGATGGTGGCTGAGGCTCTGCCACAACAACTTGCCTGGTGGGATGGGGGGGGCAGGGGCACTAGCTGGCCTGACTCAAGGTTTCTTTATTTTGGTCCTTTGTATAAAAATAAAAAATCTTCAAGTGTTCATTGTTTCTCTGTTAAGCAATTCTTCTTTAGGAAATGTAGCCTACGTACGTAACAATAAATATGGCCAAAGCTTCCTGTTCAAAAATAGTCATCATGGCCATATTTTTAGAGCCCTCAAATAAAACGTTTTGAATGTCCAATAACGGGTAAACGAATTCTGATTAGAATTTGTCTTCGTCATTAGAATGACTGTCTATACTGTAGTCATTCAGAGAAAAGTTTGTAACAATGTGAAAAATGCTTGTTAAATAAAACATGCAGAAAACACAATTGTTTATGGAATACGAACACAAGGATGTACAAAGTAAAAGAGAAAAAGACCAAACTATACGAAATGTTAAGGAAAATAACAAAAAGAAAAGAGAGAAAGATGAGGAGGGAAAAGGTAAGTATCAATTTTCCCAAGATTTCCTCTAGGTATCGTTTGTTCCTCTGGGGCTGTTGCATGTATGATTTTGTCTGTCCCACTCTGTGGTGTGTCCCGCACCACACTCACTCTCCTGAAGGACCAGGAGCCCTGGGCACTGCACTAGCCTCTGAGGTCTAGGCAGTGCCTAGAACTGGGCTCCCATTTTACTTCCTTTAGCCCCTGTCCCCTTCAGAGAGGCTGGAAAAGTAAACTCCAGTTTGGAGGCTCCACCCACCTCTCTCTCCAAGTGGCCCAGCCTGGTCCTGACTCGATCTTCTGGCCACCAACTGGTCCCGCTAGAGCTGTGGCCTCAGGCCCCCAGGCCAGGGGCTGGGGCAGTTCTTGGGCCCACCAGGCCTGGTGGCACCTGGTCGACCCCGAGCTCCATCCCGTGCCTTCCTCAGCTGAGCCCTGAGGCCTCTTCCTGGAGCCCTGGAGGGAGCTTGGCCTCGGGCCGATGGCACAGGGTCAGGGTCCTACCCTCGAGGAGCCAGAAAACGGGGTGGAGGGGCCGGGAGAAGATGGCATGGAAGGTATACAAGGGTTGGGTCTTTGGTTCCAGGCTGTAGAAGGTGAGGCAGCCAGAGGTCAGGTCCAAATCCATGCCCAGGAGCCGCCCTGATACCCCCGGGAGGCGCCGGGCCTCCCCATTGTGCCAGGCCTGGGTGCTGTCCTCCTGAATGCAGAGCCCCCAGGAGCTGGGCCCGCGACCGATGTTGTCCGTGTGGGGCCCCAGCTTGCGCCTCGTCAGTTCTGAATAGGCAACGCCCAGCGTCACCGAGTGGTTGGACACACGTACCTCCCAGTAGTGCTGCCCGGCCTGGAAGCTCTGGGCACACTGCACTTGCCAGAGCTCGAAGCTGCCCGGCCCATCTGGGCCCCGGGGCTTGCGACAGTGCTTTACCCGCTGGTCCTGCTGAGACAGGTAGAAGTGACGGTTGGCGCTGATGGGGTCGAAGGTCAGGTTGCGATAATCTGTTGGGCAGAGATGGATGGAAGGTGAGCGGGCAAGGGTGCCTGTGCCTGGCCAGCATCCTGTCCCCAGAGGGGAGAGACAGCAACTGAAGGTCCACAGGCGGATCGCTAGACATCTGCCGGGGCGACTGCAAGCTGAGCTAACGTGGACATCATCTCAGCATCCGACCCTCCATGCAACCCCTGAGATGGGACCTTCCATCAGCCTCGTTTCACAGATGAGAAAACGGAGGTTCAGAAAGGTCACCTAACTTCGTAGTAAGTGGAAGAACTGTGATCGATCCCAGATTTGTGTGCCCAGAACCTCCTTCAACACTACACTGGCTGCACGTGTAAGAGGTGTGCATCCTGCAACAGGTGTGCAGGGGGGCGAGGCTAGCCCCAGGGAGGGGAGTGAAACAGACTTCCTGTACAATCACAGCATGTGCCCTGCACACACACGTGCGCACAGTGCACACGCACAGACCCACGTGTACACACAATGCACTCACACGCACACGCTCACACAGGTGCACATACATATTTGATGGGCCTTCTTACTCTGCCAGAGTTTCCTCCTCAGTGGACAAATGAGGCTCGGGACTGGTGCCAGGGGACCTGGGGTCTCTAGGGGGCAAAGCAGTGTTTTAGGGGAGTGATCTGGAGGGGAGCTCATGGGGGGCTGGGCCCTGACTCCATTACCACCCCAGTGGGAAGAACAGCTGGGCCCAGAGGGGTAGAGAGAGATCTGGGGTCAGCCTTACCCATGGAGCCAAAGTCAGCAGCCTCAGCTGGTGCTCCGGGGTGGCCCCCCTCTTCCAGGACGAGGGCACAGAGCTGGCTCAGGGACTCCTTCAGGCCACCCAGCTGCTGATCTTCGTCCCAGTGTGGGAGAGCCAGTGGCCCAAGAGGGCCTGGGGGCGCCAGGAGCTGTGATTCCTGAGCCCCGGGGACAGCTGCAGTAAGCTGGAGCACGAGGGGCAGGCACACTGGTTCCCCACCCTGCCGCCCCAAGGCCTGGTACCTGGAGGAAGGTCCGGTCGTCCAACTGCTCCAGGAGGTTGCGAATCCTGTGGTCACAGCAAGACAAGGCCTCCAGGTGGCCCTGCAGTCGCTGTTTCTCGTCCCGGGCCTGTTCCAGCGCCTGTGTCTTGGCCACCTCGATGTCCCTCAGGGCCAAGTCCCGCTGCATCTCCAGGGCCTGCAGCAGGCGGTTGAACTTGCCAGAGATCACGGAGGTCAGGGTGCAGGCTGAGCTCTGGGTGGGCACAGAAGTCGAGGGCAGCCAGGTCCCTGGGCTGCCCGCTGGCCTGAGGGGTGGGTATGTGGGGAGCCATGGTCCCTGGAATCTCTCCCCCCCATTCAGCCCTTCCTTTCCTGCTGCCAGGAGGCATTTTCAAGGCAGCTTACACCTACTGCCCAGTGTCGCAGGGACCAGCCGGTGGCTGCTTGAAGGACACAGCATGAGGACATGGAGGGCATGGAACAGACAGGCCTTATACCTGGATCTGGCTGCTTCGCTGCTGCAGTTCCTGTAGCTGGCTCTCAGCCTGGGTGGCCTGCTGCTGGGTGACCTCCAGTGTGGCTCTCAGCTGGGCCTGTGGTGCCCACCAGGGGACAAGTGACAAGAGGGGGCCAGGATCGGCTGTGAAGTTCCCCCCTCAGCCAGTCAAAACACCTGCAGGTGCTGGGCATCCCCTCCTCATGCCACCCCAGGTGAGGACAGCACGCAGAGCATCAGCCCTGGTGTGAGCCCCGGGAGAATTGGGTCAGAGTCCCAGGGAGGGCTGGACAAGGCCCCTTCCCCACCGGGAGCAAGGTGGTGCAGAGGCCTTGGGCTGAAGACAAGCAACCTGGAGCGAAGCAGCCCCCCACTACCCCCAGTCAATAAATGGGAGCTTACGCGGCCTTGAGGGGAAGGGGCGACGACCCAAAGCACCAAACTTTTTTGACAGGTGGGCAGTGCACCGCAGGTATAAGGTGGGTTCTTCCAAATGCCTGGCCAGTCCTCAGGCCCAGCTTTGGACATGAGGGGGAAGGGGGCACCCCTATTTGGTTGTGACCTGTCTGGTCTCCTCGAGGATCAAAATGCTATACTCTCGTAGTTCAGGACTGCGCATCTGCTAGGATTTGGTTCCCTGTACCAGGTCCAGAGCCTGTCTTGATTCTTCTTGTCCTGGCAACACTTTGATGGAAGGACTGATATTATCCCCGATTCACAGGTCAGAGAAGTTGACAACTTGGCCAAAGTAATCAGGTCTTCCTAAGTGCAACACTTGTGCCTCTGTTCAGGCCTCACCGCCTCCGGCACGGTAAAACATGCTGAGGGTAGGAGGGGGCAGGGCAGACTTTTCTGGTTCACCCTGACTCTCCCCCAAGGGCACACATCCAGCCCCTCACACCCCAGCGTCACTTCCCCTCTCCCTAGCCAAATGGTAGCTCCGGCAGACTGCCACGGGCTGTACCACCTGTTCCTCCCTCTCTCCCTGTTGCTGCCCTCCACTTCAAGCTTCGATGCTTACAGCAAGGTCTTTGGCCCCACAAGCAGCAACACCCTGTCCTTACTCTGTGGCTTCGGCAGCCACAGGGATCATCCTCCACATTCTGGCTCTGGGCTCCTTGACCTCCTCAGTCCATCTCAGCCACTCAGCCCTGTAACTTCACCCTGGACCCGTCACCAGCTCTAACATCTCTATTCCAAGCATCCGTTTTCTGACCACCACCTCCTTTCAAACCAGAATAAAAACAGGGCCAAGCGAAGCTGCTGAAGCTGCCAGCCCCGCCCGGGCGCAGAGAGCAGGGCGGGGTCCCCCGAGGGTCACCTCGCGCTCCCGGCGCTCGGCGTCCAGCAGCGTCCGCTCGTGGAGGCGACACTCGCGCACGGTGCACACGCTGCACACGCAGAGGCCCTCGGTGCTGCAGAAAAGGTCGAGCGGCCTCCCGTGCCGGGGACAGCACGCGCCGGGGCCGGGGTCGGGCGCCGGCCGGACGCGCAGCTCCTCCAGCACGCCGCTCAGAGCCACGTTGCGGCGCAGCTCGGCGCTGTCGGGGAGGGGCTCCCGGCACTCTGGGCACACCTTCTCGCTGCGGCCCAACCAGTCCTGGATACAGGCCCTGCAGAAGTTGTGGCCGCAGAACAGCGTCACCGGGTCCTGGTAGAGCTCCAGGCAGATGGCACAGGTCAACCTGTCCTCCAGCCCCTGCGCGGCCATGGCGGCGGCGGGCGGCCCCAGGCGCGCGGGCGCAAGGCCGGGGCCTCTTAAAGGGACCGCCGGCGCCCGGGTGTGGGTGCGGCGGGCGGAGCCAGGACTCGTCTGGGAAGACGAACTTGACAGCCCTTCTTCCGCCCGGACCAGCCGCCACTCCCAGAGCGCTCGCTCCACCCTGCGCCGACTGCTGCGGGATTGGCTTCCCATTCCGGTGCTCGGACCCTGTCAACTCCGAGCCACCCCTGCCTGCCTTTTACCACCCCAGACTGGGAGTTGGGGTCCAGCTCTCTCTGGGACCTCCATCCTGCTTCCCTACATCCTCAGTCCAGCAGCTCCCGTGCAGGGAATCTGGACACAAGAGGCTTGGGAAACCCGTTGGGCCTCCTGGCTGAGGGCCACCACCAGAACCTCTTCTGAGCCCCTAATCTGAAAATCTCATGCAAATGCTACTAACAACAAGGGCTGTTATCTACCTCCCGGGGGTTTTGGCGATTAAATGGAACAGGACCGCACATGGGAGTGCCTGGCAATGAGCATGGGGCACACAGCTAGTGCTCATTAGATGCTCTCTCCTGACCCGAGGGGCCCTGCTGCACTTTTTCCTTGAGCTGAATTTCAGGCACTTGCCGGATTAGGGTGTCTCCCTTCTCTAGGTTATGCCTAATTTCGGTGCTTTTCAAGTAAACAGTGAGGTGGAAGTTTCTGGTTACCAAGAGACAGAGGCCAAAAAACAGTGGTTCCTTCCTACCCCCTTTAATGGAAACTCAAAGCAAGCTTAACCTGCACTTGGAATCCCCTCTTGGTGTCAGCCCTCTGCTGGGGAGAGTTCCTTGTTTGCAGGTCCCAAGTGTTCTGGAACCTCACTTTTTAGAGAGGTGGTTCCCCTGCAGCTGAGCACAGAAGGATCCTGACTGCTAACCCACCTGCCCTGGGGCAGTGTGTGCTGGGCCAGCCTGAGTTGGAGGAGGGTTAACTCTTTCTTTCCAAAGGAGCTGGCCTAATTTTGTGGCAGAGTGTCCTCTCCCTTTGATGCAGCAAAAGCATATTATGTCTTCTGTGTGACAGTATGTGAAGTTTCTCTTGCTGGAAAAGGTGCGTTGATCTCTTGACTGGCTAACAGACAGTCTTTGCCTTTAGAGAGGAGAAATACCCTAACCATCCAGCAAGCACTCAGGAGCTTTCTGGGTCCTGAGCAGGGGGCGTGCCCAGAGATCTCTGAGACCTGCCTTTGCCCCACCTGACAAGGCTTCTTATTCAAAGCATCTGGAGGCCAGGAGCCTGTGAAGAGCCGGCAAGGCAAGGGGCCAATGCCCAGGGCTGGCAAATTTCTTTCAAGAGGCCTGTGGGAGCAGCCCGGGCCCACTGCCTGCTTTTCTTCTGCACCCGTCTTCAGCCAGTGGATCGCAGGGCCTCTGACACCCTCAGGAAGCAGAGGTGAGGGGTCACCTCCTGGGGTGGGAGGCAGCCTTCTTCCCACCCATAAAGCAAGAGTCCCACCAGGGGGCATCCTGGCTGCTCCCAGAACACAGACCCGGACCAGCTACAGCAAAAATCAATATATTCATACCCCCAACTCCCCAGCCTTCTTCACTCCCAAGCCCTGGGCCTGCTGGGAGGGCAGCAGAGGGTCTGCCTCAGGCAGGCCGGAGAACCCCAATGCTTTCCCCCCTTGGCACTGTGTCTCTATTGCTCCCGCCTGCAGAGCCTGACAGGGCGGCCTGAGAGGCCCAGTCCACTCTCTGAAGGGGGTGGCACTCCAGCCACTCAGTAGATGCCATAGGTGGGTTCGTGACTGTCTCTGTACCGGTCCAGGTAGCGCAGGGGCTGCCGGTGGGGGAAGCGCTTCTGCTTAGGGTGATAAGGGGGCGGCCGCATAAACTCAAACACGGGCTCTCGCATGTCTGCAAGAAGAGTGAAGGAGCGTGTGTGTGGACTGCTGCTGGCCTGAGCCCGTCTGCCAGGTGGGACTGCCCAGGCTGGTACCACCCAGCCAGCCCATCCCAGGAGTGGCACGCCTGCTGGTGGCCCTCTCCTGACAGGCACTCCTCCTGGCCAGTCAGGAGAGGTCTGTGAGCTCAGGCCAGCCGCCCCCTCCTCCAGCCCACTCTGCCCTTACCCAGGAGCTGGTGGAAGATGTGGGTGACCGAGTCATCCCAGCGGCACTGGAAGAAGGCCAGGCCAGCTGGAGTCATGGCATCTTGGTGTTTCTTGTAGAAATCAAAAGTGTGGAAGGTCCGCTGGGCAAGCTGGTAGCTGGAGGAAGAGCG